CATGCCTGTAATCCCAGCACTTTGGGAGGCCGAGGCAGGTGGATCACGAGGTCAAGAGATCGAGACCATCGTGGTCAACATGATGAAACCCCGTCTCTACTAAAAATACAAAAAATTGGCCAGGTGCGGTGGCTCACGCCTGTAATCCCAGCACGTTGGGAGGCCGAGGAGGGTGGATCACAAGGTCGAGAGATCGAGACCATCCTGGTCAACATGGTGAAACCCCGTCTCTACTAAAAATACAAAAAATTAGCCGGGCATGGTGGCGCGTGCCTGTAATCCCAGCTACTCAGGAGGCTGAGGTAGGAGAATTGCCTGAACCCAGGAGGCAGAGGTTGTGGTGAGCTGAGATCACGCCATTGCACTCCAGCCTGGGTAACAAGAGCAAAACTCCGTCTCAAAAAAAAAAAAAAATGTATATACAAAAAATTAGCTGGGCATGGTGGCGCGTGCCTGTAATCCCAGCTACTCAGGAGGCTGAGGCAGGAGAATTGCCTGAACCCAGGAGGCGGAGGTTGCGGTGAGCTGAGATTGCGCCATTGCACTCCAGCCTGGGTAACAAGAGCGAAATTCTGTCTCAAAAAAAAAAAAAAAAAGAATTGAAGAATTTGACCAGGCATGGTGTCTCATGCCTGTAATCCTAGCCCTTTTTGGGAGGCTTGAGGCAGATGGATCATCTGAGGTCAGGAGTTCAAGATGAGCCATGGTGAAACCTCGTCTCTACTAAAAATATAAAAAATTAGCTGGGTGCAGTGGTATGCACCTGTAATCCCAGCTATTTGGGAGACTGAGACAGGAGAATCACTTGAACCCGGGAGGCGGAGGCTGCAGCAATAAGCTGACATCATGCCACTGTGCACTCCAGCCTGGGTGACAGAGTAAGACTTTGTCTCGAAAAAATAAATAAATAAATAAAAATAAATAAAAAATAAAAAGAATTGAAGAACTGATCATACTACTAACACTCACAGGGTTTCCATTTTCCATACACTGTGGGTTCACATATTTGAAATGAATTAGAATAACTGTAGGTTTTTCAATATTGCTTTACATTTTTAGGGGTTTTCGCCAGTGAGTTGGCATGTGGATATTAAAAAGGAAGTATTATATAAATCCTTTCCAATATTTCTTACACTGAAAGGGCATCTCTCCAGAGTAAATTCTCACACGTTCATTAAGCTTTGAGTAACTATCTAGTGCTGGCTTCTCAATATTTCTTATATTCATAGGGCTCTGTCCACTATGAGTCCTTGTTTAAGAAGGGCTGAGCATTGATGATGGGTTCTTTTTACTTATTTTTTAGACAGTCTCTCTCTTGCCCAGGCTGGAGTGCAGTGACACAATCTCAGCTCACTGCAACCTCGGCTCACTGCAACCTCCACCTCCTGGATTCTAGTGATTCTCTCACCTCAGCCTCCCAAATAGCTGGGATTATAGGCACCTGCCACCACGCACAGCTGACTTTTGTTATTTTTTGTAGAGAAAGGGTTTCACCATGTTGGTCAAACTGAGTTTTTTTGTTTTATTTTTGAGACTAAGTCTCAGTTTGTTGCCCAGACTGGAGTGCAGTGGTATGATCTCGGCTCACTGTAACCTCTGCCTCCCAGGTTCAAGCCATTCTCCTGCCTTAGCATCCAAAGTAGCTGGGATTACAGGTACCTGCCACTACACCTGGCTAATTTTTGTATTTTTAGTAAAGACCTGGTTTCACCACATTGGCCAGACTGGTCTCAAACTCCTGGCCTCAAGTAATCCACCCAGCTTGGCCTCCCAGGATTACAGGCATGAGCCACTCTGGCTGGCTATTGATATAAAAAAAGGAATTTGGCTGGGTGCAGTGGCTCACACCTGTAATCCCAGCATTTTGGGAGGCCAAGGTGGGCAGATAATGAGGTAAAGAGATCAAGCCTAGCCAACATGGTGAAATCTCGTCTCCACTAAAAGTACAAAAATTAGCTGGGCATCAAGGGACATGCCTGTATTCACAGGTACTTCAGAGGCTGAAGCAGGAAGATCACTTGAACCTGCGAGGCAGAGGTTGTGGTTAGCCAAGATCACCCCACTGCACTCCAGCCTGGGCAACAAAACAAGACTCCGTCTCAAAAAAAAAAAAAGGAATTTGTCACATGATCCCAGAAAGAAGTAAAATGATGAACAGCCTCAAAAGTCAACAACTCTTCCCAGATGTGTCAGAGTAATGGGGCTGCAGGACAAACCATCATGGAGGGAGGGGTTATCTGTGCTTTGTCAGTTTTACCTCCAGGAGCTGAAACAGGTTTTCATAGTATCAGCGAAAAATCCCCTCATGCTCTTGGCTAATAATGTGAAAAAGTGCTCTCTTCATAACAAGGCCTGCCATCAGGAGAAACTAGTTCACCAGAGAAAAGTCTGCTTTTTGCCTGGGCATGGTGACTCACACCTGTAATCTCAGCACTTTGGGAGGCCGAGGAGGGCGGATCACCTGAGATGAGGAGTTCAAGACCAGCTTGGCCAACATGGTGAAACCCTGTCTTTAAAAAAATAAAAGAAAAAGAAAAATCTGCCTTTTTTTTTTTTTTTTTTTTTGAGATGGAGTTTTGCTCTTGTTGCTCAGGCTGGAGTACAAAGGCACAATCTCGGCTCACTGCAACCTCTATCTCCTGGGTTCAAGAGATTCTCCTGCCTCAGCCTTCCGAGCAGCTGGGGTTATAGGCATGCGCCACCACACTGTTAATTTGGTATTTTTGGTAGTGATGGGTGTTTCTTTACATTGGTCAGGCTAGTCTCAAACTCCTGACCTCAGGTGATCCACCCACATCAGCCTCCCAAGGTGCTGGGATTACAGGCGTGAGTCATCACATCCGGCCAATCTTCTGGGTTTTCATGAGAGCTTCAGTGACCCGGAGGAAGGAAATAACCAACTCCAGCCAACTCTATACATCCTGACCCAACTAAAGGGTGGGAAAAACTACGAAGTTCACAGTGCAGAGGCACGGATTCACTAAAAGGCTGACATCTAATGACTGGACAATAGAACACTGCTGCTCTCCCCATAACTTACCACCATTACTACAGGCCTATTTACAGCAGTTCCTCTTATCTGGTATGCCACGTCCAGCTATGGAAAAACTGCAAGCATACTAAAAGGCAAAAGTTAGTTTAAAGAGAAAGAGTAAGAACCAGAACCAGATATAGCAGGACTGTTGAAATTAGACTGGGAATTTAAAACAATTATGATTGGTATGTCCTGGGTTCTAATGGATAAAGCAGACAGCATCCAAGAATGGACCGGCAGTGTAAATACAGAGACAGAAATTCTAAGAATCACAAATAAAGGCCAGAGATTGAAGACAGTGTAACAGAAAGTGAAGAATGCCTTTGGTAGGCCTATTATTGGACAGGAAACAGCCAGGAAACAGCCAACTAAAGAGCTTGAGAATATAGCAGTAAAAAATCCACAACTGAAAAGCAAAGAGAACTAAGAATAAAATAACAAGATATTAAGAACTGTGGGATACCGACAAAAGTTGTATCTTACCTATAAACGAAATACCAGATGGAAAGAAAAAAAAAGGAAAAGAAATATTCGAAACAATAACGACTGAATTTCTCAAAATTAACTCAGACACCAAAACACAAATCCAGAGGCTGAGCAAATATCAAGCAGGACAAGCACCAAAAAACCCTACACCTAGGCATATCATTTAAAAATAACAGAATATCAAAGATATCAAAAGATTCTCAAAGAAGCCAGAAGGGGAAAATGCTTTATGTCTTAGAATCAAGAGCAAGAATTACATCCAACATTGAGCACAGAAGGAAGAAGTGAAGGTAAAATAAAAATGTTCATTTTTGTAATTCTTAATTGATCAGGTAACTTCTGAAAAATAGCTACAATGTACTAGATTACAAATGCTAGTTTTGTGTGCCTGTGTGCATATGCAGGTAAATGAAATATAGTAATGGTGGAAGGTCTGAGAGGGAAGATTTAGAATTATTTTGATAGCCGGGCATGGTGGCTCACGCCTGTAATCCTAGCACTTCGGGAGGCCAAGGTGGGTGGATCACCTGAGGTCACGAGTTCAAGACCAGCCTGGCCATCATGGTGAAACCCCATCTTTAAAAAGAAAAATAAGAAAAAAAAAAAGAATTATTTTGATAGTATAAGGTACTAACACTACTCATGAAACAGTACAGTAGTATGAGAATTCATGTAAATATTATGGTATGGAAAATATACAAACATTTCTTACCTTCCCAGGGTTTTGAGGTAATTTTAGGTGTGCAAAAAAAAATTCTGTGGAGTTAATGTAAGGCTTCCTACTTGCATTACAGGGAGAAGGCTTCTCTCCAGTTCACCTTCTTACACCTTTCTAGAAGGTAGAAAACATTAATGTAAGCTCTTCTACAATCCTAATGGGGTCTCGGCCTGCTCCAAGTTCCAATATGGTGTATAAGGTCACAGATTTCTTACTTTACAGTAAAAGAAACTTTCCTTTTTTTCCCCTCTATTTTCACATGGTCTATGAACAGACAACTTGTATGTGAATATTAAAATAGAGGGAACATTCACAGGCTTTTTCATGTGCCTTACATTCATACAATTTCTCTCCTATGTAAATTCTGTGTGTAGAAAGAACCGAAGACTCAATGAAGGTTTTCCCACGCCTTACATTCATATAGCTTCTCTCCAGTGTGGCTTTGCATGTTGAATATTAAGGCTTTTAAACAATCTATAAACGTTTTTGCTTATTGCTTGCTGTATTCACTTGCTAGAGCCACCACAACAAAACACCAGAATGGGTGGCTCAAACAAGAGAAGTTTATTTGCTAAAAGTTCTGGAAGCCCAAAATCAATGTGCCAGCAAGCAAGGTTGGTGGCCTTGATAGGATCTGTTCCAGCCTTCTGTCTTTGGCTTGCAGATGGACATCATCTGATGACCTCATGTCATCTGTTTGTTGTTCCACTTGTGTCTTTCTCCTCTAATAGGGAAAACAGTCTCAATTTAACAAAAAAAAAATTTTTTTTTTTGAGACGAAGTCTTACTCTGTCACCCAGGCTGGAGTGCAGTGGCACGACGTCTGTTCACAGCAACCTCTGCCTCCCGGGTTCAAGCTATTCTCTTGCCTCAGTCTCCCAAGCAGCTGGGATTAGAGGCACCTGCCACCACACCTGGATTTTTTTTTGTTATTTTCAGTAGAGACAGGGTTTCACCATGTTGGTCAGGCTGGTCTCAAACTCCTGACCTTAAGTGATCCACCCACTGCAGCCTCACAAAGGGCTGGGATTACAAGAATTAAATAATTTTCATAGTTTCTTCTCTCCAGTGTGAGTTCATTTATGTCTTTGAAGTGAATTAGAACAAATTAGAGCTCTCCCACATTCATTACATGGACAGAGTTTCTCACTAGTGAGTTCGTTCGTGTCTTCGAAGTGAACGAGGATGACTGTAAGCTTTCCCACACTGCTGACATTTATAGGGTTTCTCTTCCATGTGTGTTTTTTCATGAATTCTAAAGGAACTAGAACATATGAAGGCTTTCCCACACTGTTTACATTCATAGGGCTTCTCTCCAGTGTGAGTCCTTTCATGTATTTGAAATGAACTGGAATGACTGAAGGCCTTTCCACATTGTTTACACTCATAGGGTTTTTCTCCAGTGTGGATTCGCATGTGAATTTTAAGGTGGGTGGAATAGTTAAAAGTCTTACCACATTCCTTACAGATGTATGGTTTCTGGGCATTGTGCGTTCGCATGTGATTATTAAGACATGAGGGATACCCGAATACTTTCCCGCATATCTTACACTCACAGGCCTTCTCTTCAGTGTGAGTTCTCAAGTGTCCATTAAGATTTGAGGAAATTGCAAAGGCTTTCCCACATTCAGCACACACAAAAGGCTTCTCTCCAGTGTGAGTTCTGATATGTTGAATAAGGCGTGAGGACGTAAGGAAGGATTTCCCACATTCCTTACATTCATAGGGTTTGTCTCCACTATGAGATCGTACATGTATACTAAGGCCCGAGTACTGAGTGAAGGCTTTCCCACATTCCTTACATATATACGGTTTCTCTCCAGTGTGAGTTCTTCCATGTATCTGAAATGAATTGGAATAATTGAAGGCTTTCCCACATTCCTTACATTCATAGGGTTTCTCCCCAGTGTGGGTTCGCATGTGAATACTGAGGTAGGCTGGGTATCTATAGCCTTTTCCACATTCCTTACATTTATAGGGCTTTTTTGCATTGAGGGTTTCTATAAGCACAGAAAGGTTTGTGGAGTCAATAAAACCTGGCCCATGCCATTCATAGAGTTTTTCTCCATTGTGAGTTTTCATATGTGCCTGAAGGTATGACCCATTAATGAAGGATTTTCCACAGTGACTACATTCAAATGACTTTTCTTGTGTGCTAGTTCTCTGGCATACAATATTTGGTGTCAGGCTGAAGATTTTTTCACTCTGATTAAACTCAGACAGTTTCTCACCAGTAGAGGTTTTCTCATGCAGAATAAGGAAATCTTGAGTGTTCCCTGTACTTTGAGTTCTCATGTGCATCTTAAGGCATGAGTGTTCACTGAAGACTTCTCCACCTTGCTCACAGTCACAAAGTTTCCTTCCATTGTGGTTTCCTTCCTGTTGAAGGGACGATAAGAATTTTATCAAATATATTAACAGAATGCACCCATCTGAAGCTAAAAACATTATAATAATGATTATAATTTATGGCATTTTTATTACATGCATTCAGGTCCACCCTGTAGATTTATTTTAAGTGGTATGACTTAACTCTTATTCTAGAATGCTGTGCCATCTACTTTAATCTTGGCCAGGCCTCTAATCCCAGCAGTCTGGGAGGCTGAGGAGGGCAGAACACATGAGATCAGGAGTTCAAGAACAGCCTGGCCAACATGGTGAAACCCTGTCTCTACTAAAAATACAAAAAAATTAGCTGAGTGTGGTGGCACATACCTATGATCCCAGCTATGTGGGAGGCTGAGGCATGAGAATCGAATTGCTTGAACCTGGGAGGCAGAGGTTGCAGTGAGCCAAGATGGTGTCACTGTACTTCAGCCTGGGCAACAAAGCGAGATTCCGTCTCAAAATTGTAATAATCATAGGTTTGGTGCCATGGTTCATGCCTGTAATCACAGCACTTGGGAGGCCGAGGCAGATGGATCACCTGAGGGAGACTGGGAGTTCCAGACCAGCCTCACCAACATGGAGAAACTCCATCTCTATTAAAAATACAAAATTAGCCAGGTGTGGTGATACATGCCCATAATCCCAGCTACTTGGGAGGCTGAGGCAGGAGAATTGCTTGAACCTGGGAGGCAGAGGTTGCAGTGAACCAAGATTGAGCCATCGCAATCCAGCCTGGCAAAAAGAACAAAACTCCATCTCAAATAATAATAATAATAATGGATTGCTATAGAATTCTGTGATATTGTTTTTAAAATTCAATGTCTAGACGGGCGCAGTGGCTTACATTTGTAATTCCAGCATTTTGGGAGGCCAAAGTGGGTGGATCGTTTGAACCTAGGAATTAGACAGCAGCCTGGGCAACATGATGAAACCCTATCTCTACAAAAAATATTAAAAAATTATCTGGGCATGGTGGTACGTTCCCGTAGTCCCAACTACATAAGAAGCTGAAGTGGGAAGATCACTTGAGCCAAAGGGTCAAGGCTTCAGTGAGCCATGTTTGTGCCATTGCACTCCAGCCTGAGTGACACAGCAAAACCTTGTCTCAACAAAAAAAAAATTTTTTTTAATTCAAAGTCTAAGCCAGATGTGGTAGCTCATGCCTGTAATCCTGGCACTTTGGTAAACTGAGGCAGAGGATCACTTGAGCACAGGCGCTCAAGACTAGTCTGGGCAACACAGCAAGATCCTATATCTACAAAAAATTTAAAGAATTAGCTAGGTGTGATAGTGCACACCTGTAGTCCAGCTACTAGGGAGGGTGAGGTGGGAGGATCGCTTAAGCCTAGGAGGTCAAGGCTATAATGAGCCATGATTACACCACTGCACTCCAGCCTGTGACAGCAAAACCCTGTGTCAAAAAAAACACCAAAACAAAACTCAATGTCTAGTTCCACATGTGGAAATGTGAAGAAGCTCTGAAGAAACAAGTTTCATAATACATTTGGAGCATCCCCAAACTAATCACTCTCTCTTGTGTGTATGCAACTTCTCTCAAATATCTCTTATTTTTGCTGACTTTCCATTATAGAATTCCTGATTTTCTCTGAGGATGGAAAATAAGAACCATCCCTTGCAAATCTTACCAATTGTACCCCAATGGATGTCTGACCCCTCAAACAGTTCTGCTGAAGTGTAGACCATTGGGTTTCAAGTTGCAATTCCCATCCTGAAATAAAACAGAAAAACAAATAAAAGGACTTAAGCAAGGTGAGGTAGCTCATGCCTGTAATCCCAGCACTTTGGGAGGCCAAGGCAGGCAGATCACTTGAGGTCAGTGTAAGGCTGGTTGCCTCGCCTGGAGTTCCGACAGGCCCATATCCCTCCCATCTTGAAAATCAGAATACGTCAATCATCTAGCCCCACCTTGGAAATCCCCTCTACACTAGGATGCCAATCATCTAGCTCCGCCTTGGAAATCCCCTCTGCACTCGGCACCTAACCCCTCCCTTGGAAATCCCCTCTGCACTCAGCCTGCTCACAGGAAGTCCCACCTCTCTACCAATAGTAGCTCCTGCTGTCCACATCCTGTCTCCCCAAATCCAATCAAACGCCTTCACTCCCTATAAAACCCCACTCCTGACAGGAAGCAGTGCAACTTGCCTGGCCCCTCTCCCTGGGACCATGGAACATCGTCAGGGAGCTGAATAAATTGGAATTGGCATCTAATTTCTTGTTCTGGCCTCAGTTTCCTCGTTTTTTACTTGGCTCCTATCTTCAAAGAATAAACTTTACAGTCAGGAGCTGGAGACCAGCCTGGCCAACATGGTGAAACCCCATCTCTACTAAAAATACAAAAGTTAGCTGCGTGTGGTGGTGAGCACCTGTAATCCCAGCTACTCAGTGGGCTGAGGCAGGAGAATTTCTTGAACCTGGGAGGCAGAGGTTGCAAGGAGCTGAGATCACACCACTGTACTCCAGCCTTGGCGACAGAGTCAACAACAATGACAAAAGAAAGGATTTGGGGGAAAAAAAAATGGAAAGAAATGGAAAGAGTTGAAAACAATAAGGCTCATTTCTATTTGTTTCAAATTAAACATGGCAAAAAAAACAAAGAGATTCAGGGATTTGGGCTACATCAAAAATTTGGTTTTGATGTAAATGATCCAAAGGGGGAAAAACTGGCTAAAACAAGGACATTAAGTAAAAATTTTAGATTGTTTATTACAAATTGATGCTATGAAAATTAAAACTAATAGTGATTCCTGCAGCTGTACCTTGATTTTCTTAGGGGGGAAAAAAACTGATAGGTCAATAGAGAGTATCACGGAGTGAAAGCAGGAAATTTCTGGAAAAACTGTGTAACAAAAATTGACTTAAGGAAATGTTCTCGCCGGGCACGGTGGCTCATGCCTGTAATTCCAGCACTTTGGGAGGCCAAGGTGGGTGGATCACCTGAGGTCAGGAGTTCACCGCCAGCCTGGTCAACATAATGGAACCCCATTGCTACTAAAAATAAATTAGCCAGGTGTGGTGGTAGGTGCCTGTAATCCCAGCTACTTGGGAGGCAGAGGCAGGAGAATCATTTGAACCTGGGAGGTGGAGGCTGCAGTGAGCCAAGACTGCGCCATTGCACACCAGCCTGGGCAACAAGAGTGAAACTCTGTCTCAAAAAAAATAAAAAGAAAGAAAGAAAAGAAATGTTCTAAGACCCCAGGTGGATGCCTGAGATCATGGCTAGTTCTGAACCCTGTATACACTATGATTTTTCAACCTAGTAACTGAGATGGCCATTATGTGACTGACAGGTGGTATACACAATGTGGATATACTGACAAAAGGATGATTCACATGCCAGGCAGGATGACATAAGATTTCATCATACTACTGAAAACAGTGAAAAATTTTAAACTTTGAATGTTGTTTTATTTCTGGAATTTTTTTTTTTTTTTGTGGGGTAGTAGGGCAGTGGCCAGGGTCTCACTCTGCCACCCAGGCTGGAGTACAGTGGTGTCATCACATCTCATCGCAGCCTTGACCTCCCAGGCTCAATCAACCCTCAAAGCTCAGTCTCCTGCGTGGCTGGGACAGCAGGTGTGTCCCACCACCCACAGCTAACTTTTCTATTTTTTGTAGAAACAAGGTTCTTGGTATATTGCCTAGGCTGGTCTCGAACTCCTGGGCTCAATGATTCACCCTCCTAAGCCATCCAAAAAAGTGTGGGGATTACAGGCATGGGCCACCATACCTGGCTGAATTTTCCATTTAATATTTTTTGGACCATGGTTGACTGTAGATAACTGAAACAGTGAAAAATGAAATCACAGACAAGGGGGGACTGTTCTGTAAGTAAAAGTGTGTGGGAAGTTAAATATTTCCTAACTTTATCTAAACCTGCAGAGAGAAAATACACGTTAAAAAGTTTCCTAGGCCAAGAATGGTGGCTCATGCCTGTAATCCTAAGAATTTGGTAGGTCGAGGCGGGTGGATTACCTGAGGTCAGGAGCTTGAGACCAGCCTGACCAACATGGAGAAACCCCACCTCTACTAAAAATACAAAAATTAGCCAGGCGTGGTGGCGGGCACCTGTAATCCCGGAAGCTACTCGGGAGGCTAAGGCAGGAGAATTGCTTGAACCCAGGAGGTGGAGGTTGCAGTGAGCCAAGACTGCGCCACTGCACTCCAGCCTGGGCAACAACAGTGAAACTCCAGCTCAAAAACCAAACCAAAACAACAACAAAAAAAAGTTTCCTAATTATGCTTCCAAACATAGTGACCTTCTCATCAACCAGAGTTGTTCTTCATGAACACTCACCTTGGAGAACGCCTCCCTGAACTGTCCTTGACTCTTCTTGTTCCAACCAAGAGATCAGACTGGGTTTGATGATCTGACCTCCTGAGCACAGAAAAAGACATTGATGGAAGAGGCTCATACAAGAGATTACAAACTGCTCTTTCCCTGCTGCCACTAGGTCATGCAGAGGTGGAGGCTTGGGTGCGTTCAAGATTCAGCTTCACCCGTAACCCACTGCCATGACTGAGGAAGATATTGCTGCTGGAGGTGTAATGGACATCAATACTGCTATACAAGAGGCGCTGAAGACTGCCCTCATCCACGATGGCCTAGCACGTGGAATCTGCAAAGCTGCCAAAGCCTTAGACAAGTGCCAAGCCCATCTTTGTGTGCTTGCATCCAACTGTGAAGAGCCTATGTGTGTCAAGTTGGTGGAGGCCTTTTGTGCTGAACACCAAATCAACCTAATTAAGGCTGATGACAGCAAGAAACTAGGTGAATGGGTCGGCCTCTCTAAAAATGGCAGAGAGGGAAAGCCCCGTAAAGTGGTTGGTTGCAGTTGAGTAGTAGTTGAGACTATGGCAAGGAGTCTCAGGCCAAGGATGTCATTGAAGAGTACTTCAAGTGCAAGAAATGAAGAAATAGCCAGGCGCGGTGGCTCAAGAGGCGGGTGGATCACAAGGTCGAGAGATCGAGACCATCCTGGTCAACAAGGTGAAACCCCATCTCTACTAAAAATACAAAAAATTAGCTGGGCATGGTGGCGCATGCCTGTAATCCCAGCTACTCAGGAGGCTGAGGCAGGAGAATTGCCTGAACCCAGGAGGCGGAGGTTGCGGTGAGCCAAGATTGCGCCATTGCACTCCAGCCTGGGTAACGAGAGTGAAACTCCATCTCAAAAAAAAAAAAAGAAATGAAGAAATAAATCTTTGGCTCACATACACAGACACACACACACACAAAGAGATTACAAACCGTTCTATGATTCAGGAACTACATATCCAATGAAAGTGGCGAAGTTATTTCAGAAGGGCTAAAAATGCAAATAACATCTCTGTCTGTGCCCCAGTCTGGTTACTTCTTTCCCCTAAAACTGAAATTCAGGCTTACGTATATATTTAAAAAACACTACGACTTTTATTCAAACACAAAATAATGGCCAGGTAAGGTGGCTCATGCCTGTAATTGCAACACTTTGGGAGGCTGAGGCAGGTAGATCACTTGAGGTCAGGAGTTCAAGACCAGCCTAGCCAACATGGTGAAACACCATTCTACTAAAAACACACACACACAAAATAGCCAGGTATAATGGTGCACACCTGTAATCCCAGTTATTCGGGAGGCTGAGGCACAAGAATCACTAGAACCCAGGAGGCAGAGGTTGCAGTGAGCTGAGATCAAGCCAGTGCACTCCAGCCTGTGCAAATGAATGAAACTGTGACTCAAAACAACAAAAAAAATACGAAATCAGAAAGTATAACAAAGAGATCCTCATTCTTCTGGGGAAACAACTACACCAGTGGTTTTCAAAACATTATTGTACATCACAGTCATCTAGAGGACTTGTTGAAACACAGATGATTGGGCTCCAACTCCAGGTTTCTGGGTGGAGAATGAAAATGTACTTTTTTTGAGACGGAGTCTTCCTGTTGCCCAGGCTGGAGTGCAGTGGCATCACCTTGGGCTCATAGCAACTCCTCTTCCTCCTGGGTTCAAGTGATTCTTCTGCCTCAGCCTCCGAAGTAGCTGGGACTAAAGACATGTGCCACCATGCCTGGCTAATATTTGTATTTTTAGTAGAGATGGGGTTTCACCATGTTAGCTAGGCTGGTCTAAAACTCCTGATCTCAGGTAATCTGCCTGCCTCAGTCTCCCAAAGTGCTGGGATTACACATGTGAACCACCGTGCCTGGCGGAAAATGGACATTTCTAACAGACGGATGGTGTTGTTATTAATCTTGGACCGCATTTTGAGAGTGGTCACGTTAAAACCTATTTAGGATAGTGACTATGTCTGTTATTTCTCTTTGTGTTCAGAGTTGATGTTGCTAATGCCGCAACACAGTAAGCACATAACATGTATCAGTCCCATAGGAGGCTGCCAGGGATGATGCCAGTCTTACCTACTGTGGCCAGGTTCTTGTAGTTCTCTAGCATCACATCACTGTAGAGGCTTCTCTGAGTTGGGTCCAGTAAAGTCCACTCCTCCTGGGTGAAGTCCACAGCCACATCGTCAAAAGTCACTGAATCCTAAAGCATCACACACATGCTGGTTGGAGCCAGGTAACATGTCCATCAGCACCCACTGGAGAATAAGGAAGTGGGACGCAATGCCTATACAGGATTCCAGGGGCTGTAATTACCCACTCCAGGGTTTAAGGGTCCTAGAAACTCCTCTCTCCATAAACACAGTCACTGTCATCTCCTCCACTCATAGGCCATTAATGGTACTTCTTGAGTATGAATTTATCTCAGCACAACCAGACTAGAAGTTCTCATCTTATTTCCATCTTTTTGAGCACAGTGCTCAGCACATTCCAGACATCCGATCAACACTGATAAACAACTTGAACAAAGGACACTTTATTTATTTAGAGACAGTCTTGCTCTGTGACCCAGGCTGGAGTGCAATGGCACAATCCTGGCTCACTGCAAACTCCACCTCCCGAGTTCAAGCAATTCTCCTGCCTCAGCCTCCCGAGTAGCTGGGATTACAGGTGTGCCACCACACCTGGCTAATTTTTGTTATTTTTAGTAGAGACAGAGATTCACCATGTTTGTCAAGCTGGTCTCAAACTCTCGACGTTGTGATCCACCTACCTCAGCCTCCCAAAGTGATGGGATTACAGGCATGAGCCACCGTACCTGGCCAGAACAGTTTACTTTTCTAATTCAAAAAAAAATTTTTGAGCCGGGCACGGTGGCTCAAGCCTGTAATCCCAGCACTTTGGGAGGCCGAGGCGGGTGGATCACGAGGTCGAGAGATCGAGACCATCCTGGTCAACATCATGAAACCCCGTCTCTACTAAAAATACAAAAAATTAGCTGGGCATGGTGGCGCGTGCCTGTAATCCCAGCTACTCAGGAGGCTGAGGCAGGAGAATTGCCTGAACCCAGGAGGCGGAGGTTGCGGTGAGCTGAGATCGCGCCATTGCACTCCAGCCCGGGTAACAAGAGCGAAACTCCATCTCAAAAAAAAAAAAAAAAAAAAAATTTTTGAGACGGTCTGACTCTCTTGCCCAGGCTAGAGTACAGTGGTGCAATCACAGTTCACTGAAGCCACAACCTCCAGGGCTCAAGTGATCCTCCCACTTCAACCTCCCAAGTAGCTGGGAGTACAGTCATGTACCACTTTGCCCAGCTAATTTTTAAATTTTTTGTAGACGGGGTCTCATTATGTTGCTCAGGCTGGTCTTAAACACCTGTACTCAAGTAATCTGCCCACCTCAGGCTCCTGAAGTGCTAGCATTATGGGCATAAGCCACCATGCCCAGCCCGGGATGATTTTCAAGTTAACACCTCCCTATATGGGAGGCCCCATTCCTTGGGGAAATTCAAATGGGGATTCAGTCCTTGAGTGACACTTTACTTGCTTTAAGAAGCATGGAGAAGCCAGGCACGGTGGCTCACGCCTGTAATCCCAGCACTTGGGAGGCCGAGGCGGGTGGATCACGAGGTCAAGAGATCGAGACCATCCCGGTCAACATGGTGAAACCCCGTCTCTACTAAAAATACAAAAAATTAGCTGGGCATGGTGGCATGTGCCTGTAATCCCAGCTACTCAGGAGGCTGAGGCAGGAGAATTGCTTGAACCCAGGAGGCGGAGGTTGCGGTGAGCCGAGATCGCGCCATTGCACTCCAGCCTGGGTAACAAGAGCGAAACTCCATCTCAAAAAAAAAAAAAAAAAAAAAAAAAAATACAAAAAATTAGCTGGGCATGGTGGCACGTGCCTGTAATAATCCCAGCTACTCAGGAGGCTGAGGCAGGAGAATTGCCTGAACCCAGGGAGCGGAGGTTGCGGTGAGCCGAGATCAAGTTTGTCCCTATGTACAAGGACACAGTTACTTTTTACCTGATAACAATTTGTTAGGCAGTCGGCCACTATCCTTCCTGCTGCTGTCTTTTCTTCATGAAGGCAAACTGGGTCCCCAGAAAGATAATGTCCTGTAAGAAAACAAATGCATGAGAGCCCCAGGATGACCATAATCCCCACATCCACCTACCTAGAGGTCATTACTCCTAGTACGAAATTCCCAAATATTCCTGCAAAATCAAGAAAACACATGAGGCCAGTTGCAGTGGCTCATATCTCTAATCCTAGTGCTCTGGGAGGTTGAGGCGGGAGAACTGCTTGAGGTGACAAGTTTGAGATCAGCCTGGGCAACACAGTGAGACCCTTGCTTTACAAAAAATTTTAAAATTAGCCTGGTGTGGCCGGATGCAGTGGTTCATGCCTGTAATACTAGTACTTTGGGAGGCCGAGGTGGGCAGATTACGAGGTCAGGAATTCAAGACCAGCCTGACCAACATGGTGAAACCCCATCTCTACTAAAAATACAAATATTAGCCAGGTATGGTGGTGCACGCCTGTAATACCAGCCTACTCAGGAGGCTGAGGCAGGAGAATCGCTTGAACCCAGGAGGCGAAGGTTGCAGTGAGCTGAGATCAAACCACTGCACTCCAGCCTGGGAAACGGCAAGACTGTTTCAAAAAAAAAGAGCCGGGCATAGTGGCTCACACCTATAATCCCAGCACACTTTGGGAGGCTGAGACGGGTGGATCACGAGGTCAAGAGATCAAGACCATCCTGGTCAACACGGTGAAACGCCATTGCTACTAAAAATACAAAAAGTTAGCTGGGCATGGTGGCGCATGCCTGTAGTCCCAGCTACTCGGGAGGCTGAGGCAGGAGAATTGCTTGAACCCAGGAGACGACAGAGGTTGCAGTGAGCTGAGACTGTGCCATTGCACTCCAGCCTGGGTAACAAGAGCGAAACTCTGTCTCAAAAAAAAAAAAAAAATTAGCTCCATGTGGTGACATACACCGGTAGTCCCACTTCCTTGGGAGGCTGACAGAGGAAGATTGCTTGAGCCAAGGAGTTCGAGACCACCTTGGACAACATAGTGAGACCTCCTCATCTCTACCAAAAAGAAAAAAAACTATATATATATATAGTTTTGTTTTGTTTTGTTTTTTTGAGACAGTCTCGCTCTCTTGCCAGGCTGGAATGCAGTGGCACAATCTCAGCTCACTGCAACCTCCGCCTCCCAGGTTCAAGCAATTCTCCTACCTCAACCTCCTGAGTAGGTGGGAACACAGGCACGCACCCCCACTCCCAGCTAATTTTTGTATTTTTTTAGTAGAGATGGGGTTTGACCATGTTGGCCAGGATGGTCTCAATTTCTTGACCTTGTGATCCACCCGCCTCAGCCTCCCAAAGTGGTGGGATTACAGGTATGAGCTACCACGCTGGCCTATATTTTTTTTTAAATCAGCCAGGTCCGTGGTGGCATGTGCCTGTAGTCCCAGGTACTTGGGAGGCTGAGGTGAAACGACTGCTTGAGCCCGGGAGTTTGAGGATGCAGTGAGTTCTGAATGCACTACTGCACTCCAGCCTAGGCAAAAGAGCAAGATGAAAGGAAAGAGAAAAGAAAAAAAAGAGGCCGGGCGCAGTGGCTCAAGCCTGTAATCCCAGCACTTTGGGAGGCCGAGGCGGGTGGATCACGAGGTCGAGAGATCGAGACCATCCTGGTCAACACGGTGAAACCCCGTCTCTACTAAAAATACAAAACACTAGCTGGGCATGGTGGCGCGTGCCTGTCATCCCAGCTACTCAGGAGGCTGAGGCAGGAGAATTGCCTGAACCCAGGAGGCGGAGGTTGCGGTGAGCCGAGATCGCGCCATTGCACTCCAGCCTGGGTAACAAGAGCGAAACTCTGTCTCAAAAAAAAAAAAAAAAGGAAGAGAAAAGGAAGAAAAGAAAAGAAAGAGAGAGAAGAAAGAAAGGAAAGAAAGGAAAGGGAAAGGGAAAGGAAAGGAAACACAAACATACAACCTGCTGCCATAGAATGCCACAGCAGACCTAAAGGTGGTGATGAGCCACGCTGCCTGCCCGGAAAATTACAACAGTCTCATTTCACAGATAAGGAAACATATACCCAGAGCCCGTGACTCTATCTTACTGATAAAATTCACGAAGGAGAATCTGCAGTACCTCTCTTTCCAAAACTCACAGCCAGGATGAGGCTGACTCACAAAACAGCACACTCTGGCCCACCTCAGCACCTCCCAAATGAATCATCAGCGTGACCAGCAGCCCGGACCACTGGACTGCAGAGGGAACCTAGAGCAGTGGATCTGAAAAAGAGCAACAGGACTTACCATGGGACAAATCAACAGCTGCCATCCTGTGAGGTGAGAATGTACCAGAACCCTGCTTTCATTGATGCCAACATCACTTCAGGACAGCTCATTAATCTAAATGGACAGCAGCAATCTCCATTCCTCTTGATATAGGGTTATTGGGATTCCTGTTGGTATTAATCAATAATCAACAAGCATACTTAATCATCAGTCATCAAACATATACACTGGCTGGGGCAGTAGCTCATGCCTGTAATCTCAGCATTTTGGGAGGCCAAGGTGAGAAGACTGCTTGAGTCCAGAAGTTTGAGACCAGCCTGGGCAACATGGCGAAACCCTATCTCTAAAGAAATTTTAAAAAGTAAATTAAGAAAAGAAAATTGAAGTGGTAAGCCAGAACTGGAATTCCAGTACAATTTTTGCACACCCACATTAAAAAAAAAAAAATCTCACAATACACTTTAAGTACTGGACAGCCTCAACAGGGCCTTGACTGGAAACACTTAAATCAAACAAATCTGCATCCCCATCTCATGCTGTCAGAGAGGCAAAGTCAAACTGCTGTGTGCCTAAAATTGGTCTGTTACGTGCATCTTCACAGAGAACTGATTTTTTTTCATGGCGCTTGATTATATTTTTATTTTATTGTATTTTATTTTTTAATTTTTTTTTTTTAAGATAGGGTTTCGGCCGGGCGCGGTGGCTCAAGCCTGTAATCCCAGCACTTTGGGACGCCGAGGCAGGTGGATCACGAGGTCAAGAGATCGAGACCATCCTGGTCAACATGGTGGAACCCCATCTCTACTAAAAATACAAAAAATTAGCTGGGCATGGTGGCGTGTGCCTGTAATCCCAGCTACTCAGGAGGCTGAGGCAGGAGAACTGCTTGAATCCAGGAGGCAGAGGTTGCGGTGAGCCAAGATTGTGCCATTGCACTCCAGCCTGGGTAACAAGAGCGAAACTCCGTCTCAAAAAAAAAGATAGGGTTTCACCTTGATGGCCAGGCTGGTCTTGAACTCCTGACCTCAGGTGATCCACCCACCTCGGCCTCCCAAAGTGCTAGGATTACAGGCGTGAGCCACCGCGCCCAGCCTATTTTTTTTTTATTGCATTTTAGGTTTTGGGGTACATGTGAAGAACATGCAAGATTATTGTATAGGTACACACATAGCCGTGTGATTTGCTGCCTTCCTCCCTTCACCTATATCTGGCATCATTTCTCCCCATGCTCTCTCTCCCCAACTCTCCACCCCTCGCTGTCCCTCCCCCTGTGTAGTGCTCCCCTCCCTGTGTCCATGTGTTCTCATTGTTCAACACCCGTCTATGAGTGAGAACATGCGGTGTTTCATTTTCTGCTCATTTCAGTTTGCTGAGAATGATGGTTTCCAGATTCATCCGTGTCCCTACAAAGGACACGAACTCATCGTTTTTAATGGCTGCACAATATTCCATGGTGTATATGTGCCACATTTTCTCTGTCCAGTCTATCAGCGATGGGCATTTGGGTTGGTTCCAGGTCTTTGCTATTGTAAACTGTGCTGCAATGAACATTCGTGTGCATGTGTCCTTATAGTAGAACGATTTATAATCCTTTGGATATATACCCAGTAATGGGATTGCTGGGTCAAATGGAATTTCTATTTCTAGGTCCTTAAGGAATCGCCACACTGTCTTCCACAATGGTTGAACTAATTTACACTCCCACCAACAGTGTAAAAGTGTTGCTATTTCTCCACATCCTCTCCAGCATCTGTTGTGTCCATATTTTTTAATGATTGCCATTGGAACTGGCATGAGATGGTATTTCAATGTAGTTTTTATTTGCATTTCTCTAATGACCAGTGATGATGAGCATATGTTTGTTGGCCTCATGTATGTCTTCTTTTGTACAGTGTCTGTTCATATCCTTCGCCCACTTTTGAATGGGCTTGTTTTTTTCTTGTAAGTCTGTTTCAGTTCTTTGTAAATTCTACCCTTTGTCAGATGGGTAGACTGCAAAAATTTTTTCCCATTCTGTTGGTTGCCAATTCCTCTAATGACTGTTTCTTTTGCCATGCAGAAGCTGTAGAGTTTGATTAGGTTCCATTTGTCTATTTTGGCTTTTGTTGCCAATGCTTTTGGTGTTTTGGTCATGAAGTCCTTGCCTACGCCTATATCCTGAATGGTTTTGCCTAGATTTTCTTCTAGAGTTTTTATGGTGTTAGGTCTTATGTTTAAGTCTTTAATCCATCTGGAGTTAGTTTTAGTGTAAGGTGTCAGGAAGGAATCCAGTTTCTGCGAGAACTAACTTTTTATAGTATTTACCTGGTTGATTTTTTTCCATCAAAGTTCAGTTTTATTTGGCCAGGTGAGGTGGTTCATGCCTGTAATCCCAGCACTTTGGGAGGTCAAGACAGGTGGATCACAAGGTCAGGAGTTCCAGACCAGCCTGACCAACACGGTGAAACCCCATCCCTACTAAAAACACAAAAATTACCCAGGCATGGTGGTACGCACCCGTAATCCCAGCTACTCAGGAGGCTGAGGCAAGAGAATTACTTGAACCCAGGAGGTGGAGGTTGCAGTGAGCCGAGATCACATCACTGTGTTCCAGCCTGGACAAAAGAGTGAGACTCAAAAAAAAAAAAAAAATGTGTTGCTCTGCAAAAAGTGAAAACTCCAATTACTCTCGGTTCAAAGAAACTGAAATATGTAAACAAATGCAATATAGAAACCTTTAAGGGATCTTAAATCCAAAAATATCCAAGACCCTGTTTTGGAAAAATATACAGATTTTTTTCTTTTTCTTTTTTTTTAAAAGATGGGGTTTCAGCATTATGGCCAGGCTGGTCTTGAACTCCTGACCTCAGGTGAGCCACCTGCCTTGGCCTCCCAAAGAGCTAGGATTACAGGCATGAGCCACCGCGCCCAGCCCTCTTTTTTTTTTTTTTTTTTTTTTTTTTTAGATGGAGTTTCACTCTTGTCGCCCAGGCTGGAGTGCAATGGCTGACCTCAGCTCACCACAATCTCTGCTCCTGGGTTCAAGCAATTCTCGCGCCTCAGCCTCCCAAGTAGCTGGGATTACAGGCATGCACCACCACGCCTGGCTAATTTTTCTATTATTAGGAGACCGGGTATCTCCATGTTGGTCAGGCTGTTCTCAAATTCACAACCTTAAGTAATCCACCCACCCTGGCCTCCCAAAGTGCTGAGATTACAGGCGTATGCCACAGCGCCCAGCCCAGATTTTTGTCTAACAAATAGACATTGCATGACACTAATGTTTTTCATTTTCTTGTATGAAATAATAGTATTCTACCTGTACTAAGGCAATGTCCTCATCTTTGACATATGCAATGCCGAGTATTTAGTCAAGTATTATGTCTAGTACTTACTTTCAATTTACTATCAGGTCGAATTCACCATAAACTGTATTTACCTGGGGAAAGTAGAAACGGGCAAAATGCTAAAAATGGGTGAATCCATTACAATGGATACTGGATGGTCAAATTATGAGTACGTTTAAGATTTTTCAAAAGAGAAATATGGGGGAAAAAACACTCATTCCAACCATTCTGTTAACTGTCAATTTGATGATTCTGATACTAGAATAATAAAGATTTCATCCGTTCCTGCTGGAGCTATCATTATAAAGCTCTCTTGGGATGAACAGGCCTAGGAACTTCATTCGAAGGGAATGCGTTATTATTCTTAGTATATTCTTTTTTAAAAAAATTTTAAATACTTTTTTAAAAAAAAAAAAAGACCGGGGCCGGGCGCGGTGGCTCAAGCCTGTAATCCCAGCACTTTGGGAGGCTGAGGCGGGTGGATCACGAGGTCGACAGATCGAGACCACAGGGTCAACATGGTGAAACCCCGTCTCTACTAAAAATACAAAAAATTAGCTGGGCATGGTGGCGCGTGCCTGTAATCCCAGCTACTCAGGAGGCTGAGACAGGAGAATTGCCTGAACCCAGGAGGCGGAGGTTGCGGTGAGCCGAGATCGCTCCATTGCACTCCAGCCTGGGTAACAAGAGTGAAACTCTGTCTCAAAAAAAATAAATAAATAAATAAATAAAAATAAATAAAAAATAAAAAGACCGAAGAGTATTCTTAGTATTGTTTAGCAGAAAGACTTGAGGTCTACAAACGTTTATACTCACATACACAAATATGCACACACCTATAAACCTAAAAAATAATGTTTGTCTTTCTCCATGAAAGTAATGGTCAAAAACAAAACAAAACGCACAAAGACAAAACCAAATTTACAAATGAAACATTGATTTGCATAAGAAGAGACACAAAGGGCCACCTAGAACAACTTTCACCCACTGCTTACCAGAACACAAAAATCACCAGGTCCCTGAGCCGGGAGGACCCTGGGGACGGAGTCAACGTGGATGCAAAAAGCGGAAATCATTTTCCTGCTGGAAAAAAATTCACAAACGCTGCTTTGGAGACCTTTGGAGAGGAGAGCACAGTGGACACCGCAACTAACGCCCCGGCTCCTCCGGGGGAGTGATGAACCGAGCGGAAGCAAGCGGCACCGACGAACGCAAGCGAGGCCGGCGAAGCCTCGCTAAGGTCTAGGCCAAACCCGTCCTTCACCCCAACGTCACCTCATCTCCGCGGAACTCACCAACGCCGGAGGGGCTCCAAGTCCGAGGGCAGAAAGGCTCTCAAGCGCGAACAGCTGGCGTCACGGAAGGAACGGCGGGCCGCTGACGTCATTTCCGCTCCCCGCTCTCCGCCTGCGACTCGCTGGCGTTTGGAGACTAGGGCCTCTGCCATGCAGGACCCTTCCGAGGCAGAGAATTCTAGTTCCCTCCTGCTTGGCTGCGGAGGACCTTGGAGTGGGCTGTAGGCAGAAAGGAGCCCAGAGGGCATTTCGAGGTTAGAGCCAGGCCTGCGGGCGGGGCTCCCGGCAGGGGCAGGGCCGGGGACCGGGGCCATCCGTCGGGGCCGGGGAGGAAGGTGAGGCCAGGCCCAGAGGACAAGGTTAAAGTTACAGTCAGGCCGTTGGGCGAAGCCACAGGGGCCGGGCCATAGGGGCAGGGGCCAAAGTGTTAGGCATCTGGAATAGTGATAACTACGTATTTTGCTATGTTACTATTTAAACATTTCATTTTAAAAACATTTTTTTGGCCGGGCGCGGTGGCTCAAGCCTGTAATCCCAGCACTTTGGGAGGCCGAGGCGGGTGGATCACGAGGTCAACAGATCGAGACCATCCTGGTCAACATGGTGAAACCCCGTCTCTACTAAAAAAAATACAAAAAATTAGCTGGGCATGGTGGTGTGTGCCTGTGATCCCAGCAACTCAGGAGGCTGAGGCAGGAGAATTGCCTGAACCCAGGAGGCGGAGGTTGCGGTGAGCGGAGATCGTGCCATTGCACTCCAGCCTGGGCAACAAGAGCGAAACTCCGTCTCAAAAAAATAAAAAATAAAAATAAAAACATTTTTTAATGCAGCCAAAAGAATTGTTTTTTAAAAAAAAGTTTCTGGGTTTTCTGCCTTGTTTTAAAGCGTTTTTTTGTTTTTTTGTTTGTTTTGTTTTTTTTTTTTTGAGACTAAGTCTCACTATGTCGCCAAGGCTAGAGTGCAGTAGCAACATCTGGGCTCACTGCAACCTCTGTCTCCCGGGTTCAAGCGATTTTCCTGCCTCAGCCTCCCAAGTAGTTGGGATTACAGGTGCGTACCGCCACGCCGGGCTAATTTTTGTATTTTTAGTAGAGACGGGGGTTTCGTCATGTTGGCCCGGCTGGTCTTGAACTCCTGACCTCAAGTGGGAGGCCCACCTTGACCTCCCAAATTGCTGGGATTACAGGCATGAGCCACGCGCCTGGCCTAAAAAGTCTTTTCAAATTCTAGATGATATAGGGATTTCCATCTTTTCATTTTAAATGTATTACTTTAAAATTTTTTATCTTTTGCCGCTGGGTGTGGTGACTTATGTCTGTAATCCCAGCACTTTGAGAGGCCGAGGCGGCTGGGTCACTTGAGGTATCTTTTTTTTTTTTTTTTTTTTTTTTTTTTTGAGACGGAGTTTCGCTCTTGTCCCAGGCTGGAGTGCAATGGCGCGATCTCGGCTCACTGCAACCTCTGCCTCCTGGGTTCAGGCAATTCTCCTGCCTCAGCCTCCGGAGTAGCTGGGATTACAGGCACATGTCACCATGCCCAGCTAATTTTTTGCACCTTTAGTAGAGACGGGGTTTCACCATGTTGACCAGGATGGTCTCGATCTCTTGACCTCGTGATCCACCCGCCTCAGCCTCCCAAAGTGCTGGGATTACAGGCTTGAGCCACCGCGCCCGGCCTGAGGTATTTTTTAATGGAATGTATTTGGACACGTGGTGTGGAGTAGTGGATCCAATTTTATTTCCTCCAAAAAGAGAGTTTTTATAGCATCACTTATTGAGAGAAGCTACCTGATACGGTTTGGCTGTGGGTCCCCACCCAAACCTGTCAGATTATAATCCCCAGTATTGGAAGTGGGGCCTGATAGGAGGTGATTGGATCATGGGGGTGGTTTCTAATGGTTTAGCACCATCTCCCTAGTGCTGTCTGGAGATAGAGTTCGATAGATTGAGTTCTCAGGAGATCTGGTTGTTTAGAAGTGTGTGTAGCACCTCCCCCTTTGCTCTCTCTTCTGCTCCACCACGTAAAGTCCTGCCTGCTTCCCCTTCTCCTTCTGCCATGATTGAAAGTTTCCTGGGCCGGGCCCGGTGGCACACGCCTGTAATCCCAGCACTTTAGGAAGCCAAGACGGAAGAATCACGAGATCATGAGATCAAGACCATTCTGGCTAACCCGGTGAAACCCCGTCTCTACTAAAAATACAAAATTTAGCTGGGCATGGTTGCATGCGCCTGTAGTCCTAGCTACTTGGGAGGCCGAGGCAGGAGAATTGCTTGAACCCAGGAGGCGAAGGTTGCAGCCAGCCGAGAGCCGCCACTGCACTCCAGCCTGGAGGACAGAGCAAGACTCTGCCTCAAAAAAAAAATTTCCTGAGGCCTCCTCAGCCATGCTTTCTGTACAGCCTGTGAACCGTGAGCCAATTAAACCTCTTTTCTTTTCTTTTTTTTTTTTTTTTTGAGACGGAGTTTCACTCTTGTTACCCAGGCTGGAGTGCAATGGCGCGATCTCGGCTCACCGCAACCTCCGCCTCCTGGGTTCAAGCAATTCTCCTGACTCAGCCTCCTGAGTAGCTGGGATTACAGGCACGCGCCACCATGCCCAGCTAATTTTTTGTATTTTTAGTAGAGACGGGGTTTCACCATGTTGACCAGGATGGTCTCGATCTCTTGACCTCGTGATCCACCGGCCTCGGCCTCCCAAAGTGCTGGGATTACAGGCTTGAGCCACTGGGCCCGGCCTAAACCTCTTTTCTTGATAAATTAACCAGTCTCGGGTAGTTGTTTAGAGCAGTGTGAGAACAGACTAATACACTACCTTTGACCTGCTGATATGAAATTTACCTCATTAAATTTTTTTAATATTATGGATACATAATAGTTGTACTCAAAGTTTTGAAAGCTTTGTTACTCTTAATTTTATGACATTTTATGTGTAATTATTGTGGATACATAATTGTATCCACCTTTTTTTTTTTTTGATATGGAGTGTCGTCACAGTGTTGCCCGGGCTGGAGTGCAATGGCGCTATCTCAGCTCACTGCAACCTCTGCCTTGTGGGGAACATTCCCGTGTGAGACCCCCAAAAGGCGTGAGTCTCACTATACGGTGAGTTTGATCCCAAACACAGTTTCCTACTGGAGGCAGTCGAGCTATCTGGAAATATAGGAACTTAAAGATGAGTGATCAGTTTCTAATATCAACCACAGTATCGTTTGGGCCTAAAACTATGCGTTGCTGCTAGACCGAGTGACCCCCCTGCCGGCAACCGGTTCCTGCTTTTAACTTTTTTATGACTGTTTAAGTTTTGGCCGGGCGCGGTGGCTCAAGCCTGTAATCCCAGCACTTTGGGAGGCCGAGGCAGGTGGATCACGAGGTCCAGAGATTGAGACCATCCTGGTCAACATGGTGAAACCCCGTCTCTACTAAAAATACAAAAAATTAGCTGGGCATGGTGGTGCGTGCCTGTAATCCCAGCTACTCAGGATGCTGACGCAGGAGAATTGTCTGAACCCAGGAGGCGGAGGTTGCGGTGAGCCGAGATCGTGCCATTGCACTCCAGCCTGGGTAACAAGAGCGAAACTCCGTCTCAAAAAAAAAAAAAAAAAAAAAAGAATAAGTTTTAACCTTTTCTTCACTTACCTGACTGCCTTGTACCCTAGATAATGGTTTAACTGTCGGGATATTTGCAAAGCAAATGCCACCATAAGGGATGGCTTTGATTTCTGACTCAGAGACTCCTGAATGGGGAAGTTGAGTTAAGTTGAGTCAGGAGCAGACAAAGGAGAATCCGGTTAAAAGATATTCTAATGAGCAAAACCAGAAAACCTTTTCACATCTCAGTTCTAAAACATGATCAAACCAGAGATACCTGCAGCCAGGAGGAATAATGTTTGGATGTAAACAAGCTTTGTGATTACAGGAAATTCTGTTACTTTTTACAACCACTGATTGCATATCTGACTTCTCTATTGTATAGGCCATGTAAGGTTACATTTGCATTTCCTCTTGCAACCATTGTGTATCTGATTTCTCTCTTGTATAGGCCATGTAAGGTATACATTTGCATTTCCTCTTGCTATGAGGTAAACCAGAGCCAAGAAAGTGTATTTATTCCTGGCCTTTGAAAAATAAAATTTGCTGTTTAGGCACAGCCTATCAGCCCTCCAGATGCCTCGCTTTCTGTCTTTATTATTTTTCCAGGCACACTCCCTCTTCCAGGTATTGGGACCCTCTTGCAGGTCGAGAGACCCCCGGCAGACGTGCCTACCCATCCCGGACGGTCCACAACACTGCCTCCTGTGTTCACACGATTCTCCTGCCTCCGCCTGGCTGACCCCTCAAAAAGCCCTGCTAATTTTTTGTATTTTTAGTAGAGACGGGGTTTCACCATGTTAGCAAGAATGGTCTTGATCTCCTGACTCGGGAGGCTGAGGTGGGAGGATTGCCTGAGCCCAGCAGGCTGAAGATGCAGTAAGCAGTGATCACACTGAGGTAGGAGGCAGGATTTGACTCCAGAGATGGGGCTGAGACACTGGACAAAATTGAGAATTAGCGAAAACGGATGGGGCAGGAGCAACTTTCCATAAGACACGCCCACCAGTACGCCTTGTCAGTTTACCACTGTCGTGGCAATGTCCAGGAGTTACCATCCCTTTCCATGGCAACGACATAATGACCAAAAAGTTATGATCCTTTTCCTAGAAATTTCTGCATAAACTGCCCTTTAACTTATGTGTAATTAAAATAACGTTTAACTATGACTGCAAAACTGCCCTGAGCTGCTTCTTTCAGCGCGCTGCCTATGGATTCCCTATAGGAGCCATCACAAAGCTGCAACACCACCCGAGCTGTAACACTACTTCAATAAAGCTGATTTTTACCACCAGCTCACCCTGAATTATTTCTTGGTGAACCCAGGAACCCTCATGGTCTAAGTCCCAATTTGAAGCTTGTCTGACCTACAGCACGACTGCACTCCAGCCTAGGTGACGAAGCGAGACCTTGGCTCAAAAAAGAAGTATACTTCATCAAACAGATGTATATTATAGGTAAGTTAAGATAGAACAGT